TCCTGGCTCAATAAACCCTCGTTCCCCCGCCCACACAGGAAACCCCAGCATCCTTGGTGGTGGGCCCTCCTCCGTCTGCGCTCCACTTTGTCTTAGCCTGGTTAAAGCCACGTGCTCCGTGTCTCAAAGGGGCGGCCCCACCACCAAACCCGACGTGGCGGCTGTCGAGCAAGCCGTTCTTAAGACCTGGGGAACTCACCGAGACTCCCTTTCCTGAAGCCACCGGTGGCTCTGCCACTGCAGGTGTGGGTTTCCAGCACCACGCCAGGCGCCCCCCCCCTACGCCGACTGGGCCACAAAGACCCATCAAGCCCACATGGGAGCTCTTTCAAAGACCATCATCATCCAGCCCACAGGTGTGCTTCCTCTTGAGTCAGGCCCCTTTCCAGCTCAGCCCCCCCCACCGGGCCCTTCTCTGCCCCACCAAGCCACGCTCGGATTTCCCTGTCAAAACCCCACCGCCACCTTTAAATAGAGGGGGTGACCCCCGCATTCAGAAAACCTGTTAAACCTGGGGCTGACGTTGCTGGACTCCAGTTCCCATCAGCCCTACAGAATGCAGTGGCGGGCACTGTCACCTGCCAGTGGCAAAGGAGGATAGGAAGTGTAGTCCACCCACAGGGTTGAGTCTGAAGCCTCCTGGGTTTGCCGGACTGCATCTCTCAGCAGGCCCATGGCAAGGATGATGGGAACTGATACTCCACCCACAGGGGAAAATGTAATAAATAAAAATATTAAATAATTATAAAATGACAGGCCTTCTAAGCACACTGGGGAGAGAGGGGGGCTTTGTCTCCCAGGTGTTTCCGGCTGGCAACTCCTATCGACCCTACAGGGAAGGCTGATGAGAACTGTAGTCACCCAGGAAGAATGGTAGTGCACAAAAAAACCCAACGGGGTGTTTTCTGGCTGGACTGCGCCTCCCCCTCACTGGGCTGGGGAGGAGGAGGAGGGCACTACCGGTGGGGCAAGGATGATGGGCAGTGTAGTCCTTACCAGTGGGGCAAGGATGATGGGCAGTGTAGTCCTTAGCGGTGGGGCAAGGATGAAGGGCAGTGTAGTCCTTACCA